TGAATAATTCACAAGAAAATTTCGTGTAGTAAAGCTTACCAGAGCGTTCATGTTGACCCACCGTCGAGGAGCTGTCTGTCGGGTAAAGCGGCAGCCGCCCCTTATATACCTGTGGACATCCTGACCATCCGTTGACAGGCGATGGGATGGGCGTGGCTCTGTCCCAAGTATACCCAGTGGCGAAAGTCTAACGTTAATTCTTCATTTTAGCCATGAGAAAATAATAAGTAGTAAAGATATAGCAACAAAAGTCGATGGCATCATCACGCCGGATAAAGCAAAGAAGAGAAGAGTAAAAAGGATGAAGGACAAAGGAAACAAATGGACTGGGACTGATTGAGAAAGTATTGGTCCCCTGCCTGAATATTTCAAGGTCTAACAATACCATATTCATTTGTTCATTTCATTGATTACTGGATTGAAATTTCTTCAGAACTAATTGGCTTTAAAAATTACAAAATAGTCTGGAGGACGTCACACGAAATCGCTTTACAAACAAACATGCAAACAAAACTAACAACAAACAATTTACTAATTCTTATGCAGTGTTATGACTAATTTTCTACATCTGAATTACCATCACACAATAATGAATGCAACATATGCAACGGTGAATTAGAAGCATGTAAGAGAAAGGCAATACGAAATGTTTTCGTCAACCTGTAAAAATAACGAACCAACTACAGAAAACAGAAAGGAGAACAAAACACTTATAAATGATTAAAATGGCATATCGAGATAGGCTGCTACTTCATTATTCTTAAAAGGTAATAGATTAAGAAAAAAAAAAAAGAAAGAAAGAAAAGAAAAGGGAGATATATGAGTTTAACACAAGGTGCATCGTCAGTGTTAATATCAGGGTGTTGGGTTTCCAAGCAGCTAACTATGTATTAATCACAGTCAGCAATTAAATTCTTTTTGATTCAATCATCGTATCATACAAAACAAATGGATTCATTTTATATGATGCAAATACAAAACAATAAAAGCTTTCGACTTGTCCTGGGTTAATAAATGAAATAATAAAGGAAAGAAATATAATAGAAATATTACTATTACACACCCCAAGCAAGCACTCGCCTATCTGCAGTCATGCCACGCCTATCTGGAGTCCATTGTTACTACTTACGAGGGAACATATTTAAGTTCCCAATATCTTTCTGTGGTAATTTAGAAATCGGACTCGGAGTACCAATAACTTAACTAATACAATGTCTGTCAAAATCGTTAATATTTTAGCATATTCTACACTCCATAAACATCCTTAAAGTCATACATATATACATACAGCTATGTATATTACCTATTTGTCTATCTTTCTATTCATATGTTTTTATGTACCTATCTGTCTATCAGCTTATCTATTTATTTATCTACCCACATACTTATCTATTCATCTATCTGCTTATATGTTTCTACATGCCTATTAAACACACACACACATATGTTTGCAAGTATATATATTTTAGCAAATCATTTTTTTAAGCCATAAGGGCTGCCATCATAAAAAAAATGTAATTTGTATCATTTTCGAAATCAGTCAACATCAAATTTCCTCCATCGTCGTAGTTCACGCGAAACCTATATATTTTTTCTTTTTTCATGAGTACAGTGAGAGGCCCAGGCAAAGGCAGAAAAATCTCCATTTCCTTTCTATTCACACAAATTGGAAGCGATTACTCAAAGGGTCACTGAAGAGGAAACTTTATTTTGCATATCTAAATCAGTCTGTAACTACAATGTTATGTTCCTTGTGTAATTCTGCCATTGTACTTTGCAGAATTTTACTTCTGAAACAAGGTGTTCCTATGACCTATGTAGTCTATAAAAATTGTAAGTTGTAACTTGGCAAACTTATTTACAACACGGATGTGCGGCACCATTTATTGGAGAGGAAAAAAAAATCCCAACTGACAAGAAATATGTAACTTCATAGTATTTACTTCCTGTTCTTTTATCATTCTTTTTTTTATGCTTCTGTAGAACACTTATTATCCACCAAGATATCGCACACCATCGCCATGGTTTCCACAATCACTACAAAAAGTACTATTAATCATAATAAAAAAGTAATCTGAAATATGGAAAGTATCTTACATTTGGCACTGATTTTGTAGTGTAAATTCTCTCTTATGACACACACACAAACACATCCATATACAATACATATATAGATGTATATATACACATATATATATACACACACACACACTCATATATATTTATATTTATATATATGCCACACACACATATATGCATATATATTCACACATATATGGATAGGTATATGTATACATATATATATATATATATATATATATATATATATATATATATATACACACACACACACACACACACACACACATATATATATATATATATACACATATATATACATATATATACACATATATATAGATAGACTGATATATACACATACATATATATATATATATATTAGAGGTAGATCAGCTATCCTCATCCACGGGTATCGACATAATTTTCACCATTTGAATCCGTACCTACATGCACTAATGCATACTGTATGCGATATCCTACATAACACCAGGGGTGTTATTCCTTTACTGTACTCATAACACTCTCAGTGTTATCCATGCACCATTTTCCTTCAATGCTTATTGAAAAAATAACAAGCAATTGTGAATATCAATAGCATGTGATAAAGAACGAGGAACTACATAAACAAAGCCCACGAAAGAGACAAACTGGTGCATATAAGGATCACTAGCAGTGACATTTCTGAGTTTTCTTTCCAAGGGTTGACAGACACCACTGGGTGCCGTACCATCTGATGAATCCCTGGCATACTTTCAGGATGAAAACCTTGAATTAGATACTGAGAGCGAGAGAGAAAGAGAGAGAGACGTGTGTGAGATAGGAGAGGTGAGGGAAGCGGAGAAAGAGAGAAAGAGGTAAACTGAGATAGAGAGGGTAAGAGAAAGAGAAAGAAAAAGAAAACCAAAGTGAGAAAGAGTGAAAGGGAGTAAGAAGAGAGAAAGAAAGAGAGAGAGATATGAAGACGGGGATAGATAATTACAGAGATAGAGGATTCCAAAAATATGCAGTTCGATAAAAAGAGCAATTATTTTGGTATTTGTGCATACGGGAAGTTTAATTTTCCTGTCATACCCAAGAGAGAGAGAGAGAGAGAGAGAAAAGAGAGAGCGATGTAGAGGAAGGGAAAAAAGAGAATTGAAGACAGAAATTGATATATAGAGAGGACTCAATGTAATTGGATACAAGGAGGAATTATTCCGGGTATCTGTGCAGACGAGATGTATAACATTTCGTACCTGTCATGCCCTCTACTTGTCATTTACTAAGACACACATGCTTTGTGACTTTGTGAGGGCGTCAGCCACGTGGTGCTGAGTCTGAACCGTGCCCTCAAAGCCCACATAGTTGTAGGGACCACGGACAACACCGAAGGCGTCGCGAGACTCTGCACGTGAAGAAGGCATAACCGAAGGAGTACCAACCGAGCTCATCCTGAGCGTGATTTTGAGGGTGAGAGGAGCAACTGTAGGAAGGGCACCTGCGTATGAGTAAGAGTGCAGACCAGAATAGAAGACAAAATTACATAAGTATATACATAATGCTCATGAAGCAAGACAAAAAAGAACTGACTGGTGGAAGTGATCCTAGTGTGCTGTGTAGGAACACGTACTCAACATCGTTAGCCAGAGGTTGTCGCGAGTTCCCTCATATGTGTTACATAATATTATGTATTGAGAAAGTGTGAACATGTTCTTAAATGTCTCACAAAACATACAACGGTTTTGTTAGTCGAGTCAAGCACTAGTGTCCTAGCATTTTGATAACCGTTTTAATGTGAAATCATTTACGAAAATTTGAAGGGAATACACTCACACACACAACACACTCGTTAGAATATATTACTTAAGTAAATAGTTTCAGTGTTATCAAAGGGTTGAGAGTACCATTGCCATAAACAGATGATGAACATGAATAACATTTGAATACTGGCCATGAACTATTTGTATTAGTAAAAGACACCGTAATTTAGGAAAAATCAATAAAATCAGGCAATAATACCGAAATGTATTAGTCTTTTCTGATATCTGAATAGGATTGTTTGCTCAGAAACGCTTGTGGGAATGTTGGGTTTTTGTTCTGACAAAAAGTTTTTTTTTTTTTATCAATTATTGTATTTTATAAAAAATAATATAATTCAGAAGATTTGTTTATTTATGAGAAATATATTTTACACTGTGATTTACATGATTGTTTTTTACATTGTGTGGACTAACATGGGAAGTGTCAACACTCGAAACCCACCATTTACAGGCATCATGTATCGCCAAGTAATAACTGGGGACATGTCTGCTGGTTAAAGGTGAGGATCAAGCGAGTGCTCTACACACCAAGTCCACACAAGCGACTGTGAGTGAATGAGTTGGTGGCACTCAGTTGAGCACGCGGTAGGAGGTGGCGTGGCCGGGGTTGTGGACCACACGGAGGAGCTCGGCGTCACGGAGAGCGGGTCCGGCGGCGGCAGCGTATGTGGTGGGGACGTGGGCGGCGTTGTAGGTGGTGAGGGCGGGATTGCCGGCAGTGTAGTGAAGAGGAGAAGCATAGGATGCTGGGTGGGCGTAGTGGAGGGGAGTGGAGAAGCCGTAGGAGAAACGGAGAGGAGAGTAGACGCCGAGGCCGGGAGCCGCAAGGACAGAGCGCTTCTTGCGGGTATCGGGGGCGGCAGCGGCGGCGGCTGCAGCTTCATCGTAAGCCTGCTGATGGGCGACCTTAGCGGCGGCTACTTCAGGAGTGTCCTGGACGGGTTCGGGAAGGGGACCGGGAAGGGCGGCCAGAGGAGCAGCTACAGGGGCGTCGGGAGCCACTGGAAGGTTGGTGCCGGATACACGGAATCCGAGGGCGTCGGCCACGTAGTGCTGAGTCTGAACCTTACCCTCAGAGTCCACGTAGTTGTATGAACCACGGACAACACCGAAGGCGTCGCGAGACTCAGCGCGTGAAGAAGGACCGCCAGCATAACCGAAGGAGTACTGACCGAGCTCATCCTGAGCGTGGTACTGAGACTGGACAGGTGCTACAGGTGCGAAGGGAGCTACGTTGTAGGAGACAGGTGCAGGAGCCACGGTGTTGACCACAGGTGTTTTGAGGTTGAGATGAGCAGCTGTAGGAAGGACACCTGCGTATGAGTAAGGGTGCAGACCAGAATAACCTGCATAAGGATAGGCGCCAAGAAGGCCGTGATGACCTCCATATACGCCGTTGTATGCAAGCAAGGAGGCGCTGCCGCTAGCCACGAGGGCTGCCACGGAAATCACAGTCTGAAAAGTAAAACCATTTATCAGAAATATATTCATGAAATTATACGTTGTCGAGTTCAGAGGATGTCACTGAATCATTCACAAGAAAATTCTGTGTCGTAAAGCTTACCAGAGCGTTCATGTTGACCCACCGTCGAGGAGCTGTCTGTCGGGTAAAGCGGCAGCCGTCCCTTATATACCTGTGGACATCCTGACCATCAGCTGATAGCGATGGGATGGGCGGGGCTCTGCCTTCCGCATCCGGATACATCTATAGGGGGAAATCTAGAAAGAATGGTATACTTGTTAAAAGTTATATATATAACGTGTATATATGTGTATATTCATGTATGTAATATTATATAAAAATAATTATTCTTTGCATGTTTAGAAAAGGCAAGATAATATGATTAATTTTCATGTTACTGATTTTTTCTTTTGCTGGGGACTTCAGTCTGAATCACACTAATGTCAAGCGTAGATATACAGTGGGTAAAGTACATACACTATGTACACATAAAATATTGCTAAGTAGTAATTTCCATGCACTTGTTCTATGTTACATTTTATGTTTAGTGAAAAAGCTGAAAATAATTATGAATATTTTTCTCAAACTTTTTGTCATTACCTTTGCTATTTGGGAATTCATATTCGACATAAGGAAAGTCTTTGTTATCGTAACAATCACACCTGTCAACAACAATAAGAGTGCTGAATCAGGAAGAATGAGCCTCGAAATTAAATAAATATGATGTGTATTATTCTCATTAAGCACTACAAAACTTAACTGACTGGTGGAACTGATCCTAGTAAACTGTAAAAACACTAACTCGACATCATAAAGCAAAGGTTCCCAACCTTTGTGTCGTGAGGTCCTTCCAAATGTGTTGCGTGATATGCGTTCAAAAAGTGTGCTCAGTTTCATGTCGAAACCATTATTAAATATACATAAAATTATATAATATATATATATATATAAATTTGTTTTAATAATAATGATAATTCGGAAACGAAGGCGTGTTCTCAAATGTTCCACAAAATATGCAACGGCTTTGTTAGTCGACTCAAGCACTAGTGTCCCAATAACTTGGTAACCATTTTAATTATGTAATTTACAGAAACCTATATTTTGAAGGGAATATAATAACCATACACTAACAAAACTATCATATGAATATATTACTGAAGTAAATCATTGGTCTGTCTAGAAGGCTTAGAAATATTTTCAGTATATCACCAAACTGTGGAGACTAAGTAACACTGCCAAAAGCAGATAAACATAAATAGAAACATTTGAATACCGGCCATGAAATGTTTGCATACATAAATGATATCAGGCAGTAATACCGAAATGCATGAGGGTCCTTTCTGATATCATCTGAATATGATAGTTTGCCCAGAAACGTCACTGTTATAGTGTTTCCCCGCCTAAAAAGGCCTCGATATATGTAATAAAACATGAACTTTCAACTGACGATTTAGTGTATATGCCAACGTTAGAGTTGGTATTGAGAAACCAATCACATGAGTTAAACGTCTGTGACAATGAAATGTCCTGCAGAATATGATTGATATAGATCTATATTTGATTTATCATATTTATTTGATAAATCTATATGTTACTGAGTTATTTCCCATAACTCTTTCTTTGGAAATATGATGCCTTTTGATTTAAACTTTTCCCATTGCTTACGAGGGATAGCATGGTAAATGTAAACGCTCGACTATGAGGATGTACATTTTCATCAAAAAGAGAGTTTCAGGACTAATTCAAGTTTTAATGTTTAAAAAATACGCCAAAATATATAGATATTCAGCAGCAATTGTTTATATTGTGCTTATATACACGTGGGAGCACTAGCTTTTTGTTCTACCCAAACTTTTTAATTCTTTTTACAACAAATATATTGTTTTAAGTACTTCGTATAGATGAATATAAGAATATTGAAATGTTCTGTTTAGATAAACAGAACCGGGTATTAATATGTCAGTTGAAAGAATAGAGTAAATATGATTTAGAATATTTGTTTATTTATGAGAAATTGTGATTTACATGATTGCTTTTTACAATATGTTGACTAATATGGGAAGTGTCAACACTCGACTTGAACATACCATTGACAGGTATCATGCATCGCCAAGTAATAACTGGGGACATGTCTGCTGGTTAAAGGTGAGGATCAAGCGAGTGCTCTACACAACAAGTCCACACAAGCGACTGTGAGTGAATGAGGTCGTGGCACTCAGTTGAACACGCGGTAGGAGGTGGCGTGGCCGGGGTTGTGCACCACACGGAGGAGCTCGGCGTCACGGAGAGCGGGTCCAGCGGCGGTGGCGTATGTGGTGGGAACGTGGGCGGCGTTGTAGGTGGTGAGGGCGGGATGGGCGGCAGTGTAGTGAAGAGGAGAAGCATAGGGTGCTGGGTGGGCGTAGTGGAGGGGAGTGGAGAAACCGTAGGAGAAACGGAGAGGAGAGTAGACGCCGAGGCCGGGAGCCGCAAGGACGGAGCGCTTCTTGCGGGTGTCGGGGGCGGCAGCGGCGGCGGCTGCAGCTTCGTCGTAGGCTTGCTGATGGGCGGCCTTGGCGGCGACTACCTCAGGAGTGTCCTGGACGGGTTCGGGAAGGGGACCGGGAAGGGCGGCCAGAGGAGCAGCTACAGAGGCGTCGGGAGCCACTGGAAGGTTGGTTCCGGACACACGGAATCCAAGAGCGTCAGCCACGTAGTGCTGAGTCTGGACCTTTCCCTCAGAGTCCACATAGTTGTATGAACCACGGACAACACCGAAGGCGTCGCGAGACTCAGCGCGTGAAGAAGGACCGCCAGCGTAACCGAAGGAGTACTGACCGAGCTCATCCTGAGCGTGGTACTGAGACTGGACAGGTGCTACAGGTGCGAAGGGAGCTACGTTGTAAGAGACAGGAGCAGGAGCCACGGTGTTGACCACAGGTGTTTTGAGGTTGAGATGAGCAGCTGTAGGAAGGACACCTGCGTAAGAATAAGGGTGCAGACCAGAATAACCTGCATAATGATAGGCGCCAAGAAGGCCGTGATGGCCTCCATATACGCCGTTGTACGCAAGCAGGGAAGCGCTGCCGCTAGCCACGAGGGCTGCCACGGAAATCACAGTCTGAAAAGAAATCCATTTATGAGAAAGATATTTTTGAAATTGTATATTGTCGAGGTATAAAGATGTCACTGATTGATTGATTATTTAAAATTATTTGCCGCGTCAACAGCTAAAGTCATTAGCGGCGAATATGTCAGTGAAATATTCACAAGAAAATTCCGTGTCGTAGAGCTTACCAAAGCGTTCATGTTGACCCACCGTCGAGGAGCTGTCTGTCGGGAAAAGCGGCAGCCGCCCCTTATATACCTGTGGAATTCCTGATCATCAGCTGATGGCGATGGGATGGGCGGGGCTTTGCCTTCCACATCCGGATACGTCTATAGGTGCAAATCTAGAAAGAATGGTATGAAGAATAGTGAAAATGAGTTAGATTTTATAACGTGTATGACAGTATGAATATATGTAGTATATATATAAACATTTATGTATGTATGTGTGTAATATATATATATAAATATGTATGTATGCATATATGTATGCATGTATGTAATATATATATTCTTTAGAAAATGAAGGTTTTAGTTATAATTCATTTTCATGTCTCAGTTTTTTTTTTTTTTTTTTTTTTTTTTTTTTACTGGGGTCTTCAGTCAGAATCACACGTCAAACGTAGATATACACTACACGGAAAAGAGTGCGTGATAATAGTTTTCATGTACCTATCTTGTTACATTTTCTCCTGTTTATTGAAAACTGAATAAAAATAAATATATATATATATATTTCAAACACTGCTTTTGTCCTTGTCTTTGGAGTTTGGCAATTCATTTTCGCCATAAAGTGTCTTTACTATCGATATATTTATAGTCTACCTGTCAAAAATGAAAATTGCTGAATCGGGAGGAATGAATGAAATATGATGCTCATTAAGCGGAAGGAATCCTAGTATGCTGTGCAGGAACACTAACTCGACACCATAAGCAAGAGGTTCCCAGCCTTTGTGTCACGAGTTCTCTCCAGATGTGGTGAATAATATGCAAAGAGAAATTGTGAACAGTTTCATGTCGAAACTATGGTGATGGAGATAAAAGTATACTTTAATAATAGTAATGGTAATTAGGAAACGAGGGCGTGTTTTCAAATGTTCCACAAAATATACAACAGCTTTGTTAGTCGCCTCAAGAACTAGTGTCCCTGTATCATAGTAACCATTATAATAAAGTAATTTAAAGGATATCTATACTCTGAAGGGAATATAATAACTACACAAGCAACGCATGAATATATTACTAAAGTCAATTATGCGTCGTAGAAGTGTATGAAATATTTTCAGTGTCATCAGATTCCCATAAGCAGACGAACATGCATAGTAACATTTGAAACTGGCCATGGAATATTTGTATTGGTAAAAGAAACACTAATTTGAGGAAACCTATAAAAGATAAATAAATAAAAGCAATAATAACGAAATGTATCAAAGTCCTTTCTGATATCTGAATAGGATAGTTCACCCAGAAACATCACGGTTCTAGTGCTTCCCCGCCTAAAATGGCTCTGAGTCATATAATATAACCTTTAACTGACGAAGTACAGGATATGTCAACGCTAGGAAATAGCTAGAACTTCGCAAATCGGAATCGCATCGCTAGGAAATAAACAACACCGGGCATTACTTAGCTGAAGAAGCTTATGAAATGAGTTAAACACATGAGTTTCGCTGAGGTAAGTGACGATGGGATGACTTGCAGGATATTATTTGATATTGTTTTATATTTATTTGATATACTATTCATTTTTTTTTTTTTTTTTTTTTTTTTTTTTTTTTTTTTTTAAAGATTCGCGAGGCAGAGCCTCGCCCGGGCTATGCCTATTTGGGGAGCCCGGTTTTTATTTGTTATTTGGTGCCATTTACTATATATTTTGTTTAGAAATATGGAAAACAATTTTCATTGCTTACGAAGGCCAGCATGGAAAGGGTGAACACTCGATTTTGCGGATTTATATTTTCATAAAAAAATAGCTTCAAGACTAATTGAGGTTTATGTCTTTTAAAAGATATACCAAAATAAATGGATACTCAATTGTATGTATTGTGTTTATGTACGTCATGGGGGAACATTTGGTGTTTTTTATCAAGATATATATGAATATACATATATTGTTTGGAGTATAAAAAATGAATGATATTTATATTACATTTATTTGCTGTTTGGTGTTATTTACCATATAGTCTTTCTTAAGAAATATAAATCTGTCTTTTGATTTAAACAAAAACATTTTTCATTGCTTACGAAGGCAAGCATGGAAAGTGTAAACGCTCGACTTTACATTTACATTTTCACACAAAAGAGTTTCAATATTAATCCAAGTTAAAATATTCTAGACATTTGCCAAAATGCATGGGGATTCAGTAGCAATTGTTTATATTGTGTTTATATATGATATGCGGGAACAAGTTTTTTCTGACTAAACTTTATATATTTTCCTCAGAAGTGAATATGACACTATTGAAATTCTATTTTGATAAGCAGATAACCCGTTGAAAGGATGAATTAGATATAATATAGAATATTTGTTTATTTATGAGAAATCTATTTTTCATTGTGATATACATGACTGCTTTTTACAATGTGTGGACTAACATGGGAAGTGTCAACACTCGACTTTAACACACCATTTACAGGCATCATGTATCAGCAAGTAATTCCTGAGGACATGTCTGCTGGTTAAAGGTGAGGAACAAGCGAGTGCTCTACACACCAGGTCCACACAAGCGACTGTGAGTGAGTGAGGTCGTGGCACTCAGTTGAGCACGCGGTAGGAGGTGGCGTGGCCAGGGTTGTGGACCACACGGAGGAGCTCGGCGTCACGGAGAGCGGGTCCGGCAGCGGTGGCGTATGTGGTGGGGACGTGGGCGGCGTTGTAGGTGGTAAGGGCGGGATGGGCGGCAGTGTAGTGAAGAGGAGAAGCATAGGGTGCTGGGTGGGCGTAGTGGAGGGGAGTGGAGAAGCCGTAGGAGAAACGGAGAGGAGAGTAGACGCCGAGGCCGGGAGCCGCAAGGACGGAGCGCTTCTTGCGGGTATCGGGGGCAGCAGCAGCGGCGGCTGCAGCTTCGTCGTAAGCCTGCTGATGGGCGGCCTTGGCGGCGGCTACTTCAGGAGTGTCCTGGACGGGTTCGGGAAGAGGACCGGGAAGGGCGGCCAGAGGGGCAGCTACAGAGGCGTCGGGAGCCACTGGAAGGTTGGTGCCGGACACACGGAATCCAAGAGCGTCAGCCACGTAGTGCTGAGTCTGAACCTTCCCCTCAGAGTCCACGTAGTTGTATGAACCACGGACAACACCGAAGGCGTCGCGAGACTCAGCGCGTGAAGAAGGACCGCCGGCGTAACCGAAGGAGTACTGACCGAGCTCATCCTGAGCGTGATACTGAGACTGGACAGGTGCTACAGGTGCGAAGGGAGCTACGTTGTAAGAGACAGGAGCAGGAGCCAGGGTGTTGACCACAGGTGTTTTGAGGTTGAGATGAGCAGCTGTAGGAAGGACACCTGCGTATGAGTAAGGGTGCAGACCAGAATAACCTGCATAAGGATAGGCGCCAAGAAGGCCGTGATGACCTCCATATACACCGTTGTACGCAAGCAAGGAAGCGCTGCCGCTAGCCACGAAGGCTGCCACGGAAATCACAGTCTGAAAAGTAAAACCATTTATTAGAAACATTTTTGAAATTGTATAGTGTCGATGTGAAAAAGATGTCACTGAATAATTCACAAGAAAATTCCGTGTCATAGATCTTACCAGAGCATTCATGTTGACCCACCGTCGAGGAGCTGTCTGTCGGGAAAAGCGGCAGCCGCCCCTTATATACCTGTGGACGTCCAGACCGTCATGGGATGGGCGGGGCTCTGCCTTCCACATCCGGTTATGCCTACAGGTGTGGATACTGAACGAATGCGAAGAACTATGGAAAATGACAGTGAAAGTTATAGAATAACTCGTTGAGAATACTACTTGTGATGATTTTGTTATCTAAACTTGTGCAGATTCCCTGAAATACATTAGGGTTAGTTGTCTTTATTCTCTGCCTATTTATAAGGCAAGAAAATAATAATTGTAATTGATTTTCATACCAGTGATATCTTTCAATTGTTTTCCTAAAAAAGAAAAACAATTTCATTAATATTTATTTACGCTATGCACTATGGTATGTGCATTATATACAAATAATAGATGACTTCCAGAATTCATCAGCCGAATGTCTTGTTAATGCTGTATATGAACTATCTTTTCTACCATTTTATGTATACTGGAAATACTATCGAGATTTGCATAGTTTTCTTTACTTCTCATTTTAAGTGAATAAATTGTTGAATCATTGAAATTTTATTAATGTGATTCGTTGTTGAGGGTATCATTTTTGTAATGGAGGAGATCCTAGTGCATTTGGTGCTAAGGGTTTACGGCAACAAGGCAAATAATATGAAAGACAACTATAAAACAGTATGTAGGTTATGTGCTTGCATTTCCATGCATTATATTGACTGCGCAATGCATATATATGTATATATGTATATATATAGCTAAAGAGAATCTAGAATGTTGAGAGATTTTGACATACATGTTACAGTCTGCGTTTGTTCTAGAAGCACGATATGTTCTGATGCTAATTCACCATTAAGTTATTCATTAAATATGATTATTAGAATCATGAGATGTTACATTAATTAAATAGGGCCGCATGGAAGGTGTCAACTTAGCTGATTTACCTCTTCACTGAAAAGTAATTGTTCCGAAACGAATACTAATTCTAAGGACTTGAAAAATATGAAATGGACTATTACAGGATATGACAGCGTTAGGAAGAACGGCACTGAGCATTACGTAGCTGACGAAGCTAATGGAATGAGTTAAACATATGACAAGTTTCACGGAGATGAGTGATGATAAAATGACTTGCAGGATATATATAAATTTACATTTATATCTTCATTATGTTCATTTGATATTGAATTATTTACCATATATTGTATTTGGAAGTATGTCTTTTGATTTAAAGAAAAAAAATAACGCTTACGGGCGCTAGAAGGGAAAGTGTAAACCCTCGTCTTTGCTTATTAAAATTTTCATAAAATATATAAAAAGTTTCAATATTAAATCAAGTAAAAAAAAAAAAAAAAAAAAAAAAAAAAGATATTCAGCAGCAATTGTATTTATTGTCTTTATAAACGTTATAAGGGAACATTAGATCTTTGCTCTGCTCAAACTTTTTTTCTTCTTTTCTTGTCATGAAATATATATGTTTGAAATATTTTATAATGATGGATATGGCAATATTGAAATGTTCTATTTCGTAAAGTTGAAAGGATGAGTTAAATATAATTTAGAATATTTGTTTATGAGAAATATATTGTACATTGTGATTTACATGATTGCTTTTTACATTGTGGACTAACATGGGAAGTGTCAACACTCTACTCAAAAACACCATTTGCAGGCATCATGTATCAGCAAGTAATTCCTGGGGACATGTCTGCTGGTTAAAGGTGAGGATGAGGCGAGTGCTCTACACAAGTCCACACAAGCGACTGTGAGTGAATGAGGTGGCACTCAGTTGAGCACGCGGTAGGAGGTGGCGTGGCTGGGGTTGTGGACTACACGGAGGAGCTCGGCGTCACGGAGAGCGGGCCCGGCGGCGGCGTATGTGGTGGGGGCGTGGGCGGCGTTGTAGGTGGTGAGGGCGGGATGGGCGGCAGTGTAGTGAAGAGGAGAAGCATAGGGTGCTGGGTGGGCGTAGTGGAGGGGAGTGGAGAAGCCGTAGGAGAAACGGAGAGGAGAGTAGACGCCGAGGCCGGGAGCCGCAAGGACGGAGCGCTTCTTGCGGGTGTCGGGGGCGGCAGCGGCGGCGGCTGCAGCTTCGTCGTAGGCTTGCTGATGGGCGACCTTAGCGGCTGCTACCTCGGCAGTGTCCTGGACGGGTTCGGGAAGGGGACCGGGAAGGGCGGCCAGAGGAGCAGCTACAGGGGCGTCGGGAGCCACTGGAAGGTTGGTTCCAGACACACGGAATCCGAGGGCGTCGGCCACGTAGTGCTGAGTCTGAACATTTCCCTCAGAGTCCACGTAGTTGTATGAACCACGGACAACACCGAAGGCGTCGCGAGACTCAGCGCGTGAAGAAGGACCGCCAGCGTAACCGAAGGAATACTGACCGAGCTCATCCTGAGCGTGGTACTGAGACTGGACAGGTGCTACAGGTGCGAAGGGAGCTACGTTGTAAGAGACAGGAGCAGGAGCCAGGGTGTTGACCACAGGTGTTTTGAGGTTGAGATGAGCAGCTGTAGGAAGGACACCTGCGTATGAGTAAGGGTGCAGACCAGAATAACCTGCATAAGGATAGGCGCCAAGAAGGCCGTGATGGCCTCCATATACGCCGTTGTACGCAAGCAGGGAAGCGCTGCCGCTAGCCACAAGGGCTGCCACGGAAATCACAGTCTGAAAAGAAATCCATTTATGAGAAACATATTTTTGAAATTGTATATTGTCGAGGTATAAAGATGTCACTGATTGATTGATTATTTAAAATTATCTGCCCCGTCAACAGCTAAGGTCATAAGCGGCGATGTCAGTGAAATATTCACAAGAAAATTCCGTGTCGTAGAGCTTACCAAAGCGTTCATGTTGACCCACCGTCGAGGAGCTGTCTGTCGGGAAAAGCTGAAACTGAACTTGAGTTTTGCGAAGTCTAGCTTCGCCCGGGCCTTCGGCTATGGCCCGGCCTGTGTCAGCTTTTTTAGGGGCTGGACTCATTTTTAACTGTGTCACTCGACGCTACGTGGCGCGTTGGGATTGCAAGGGCGTTCCTGCTGCCACGGGGTAAGCGAATCGCAACGCCTCTTTACCAGCCACGGCGGCTGTTGTCGGCGGTTTTGACTTAGAATGTGGTGAACACAATTCTCTAGGTGTGTGTCCGTGTCGCGTATCGCTCGCCGCTATGCATGCAACACACTCGCTTCTCGGA